GCTTGAACGACCGAGTGGGCCCCAGCCCGAGCTATTCCCTGGGCTTTTACCCCCCCCCCCAGCCGCCGACGCGGCAGAGTGGAGCGTGTGCTCTTGTACCTGTCCAAATTTTGGGAGTGTAACATGCAGATTGCACCTTGGGCCGTGAGTAAGCTCTGGGTGACACCAGTGGCTGGCACATGAGGAGGGCGGCGGGCCAGCAGCGGGCTGGGCCGGCTGAGTGCTGGTGGCACGCGAGTTGCAAGGGCAAACACAGCAGATACAGTAGGCGGCCTCGGCAGATAATATCCCAAACTCAAGAACTCTGCCATTATTGCAGGACGGGTTGCGGAGAGCAATGCGTGGCAGTGTGATGCCACCCTCACACAAGAAAGCATCCTGCGTATATGCAGGGTAGGGCGGCATTTGGCTTCCAGGCCCTGGGGCTGGGTTTGAAGGGTTTAAAGACGATGATTTGGGCACCAGGCAACACACCAGTGAGGTGTCAAAGCGCGTGGTCAAAGGCACCAGCCCTGGGCCCCGACACGCTCAATGGATGCTGCCTTCAGAGCGCGGTCTTGTGCATGGCGCCCGCTTGACCTCTGGCCAGAGCTCTAGCGGGCGCCCACTATGGTGGGGCATGTGCCAGCCGGGCACCGCTCGCAACAGCGCCGGCCATCACAGCTGGAACAGCCATATAGGTTGGTTGGTTACAATTTCCACGACCCCTTGATAATAGAAATGCATTCGCCATGCCAACAGCGCAGACCCTAATGCAGGCCCCGCCCTGGCATTCGTGTGTGCAGCCCGCCCGGGTCAAGCGGGGGGCGCGCGGTGAACGCAACATCTGCGTCCCAGATCGCGATGGGACACCCGATGCGGCCCATTCAGGATTCCTCATGCAGCTTGATTCTCCACAGCGCATGAGCAGCCGGCCAAGCAACAACAGCAGGCGCGCCGAAGTCGCGGCGAAACTGGCCGGGGCGGCCCGTGCCCGGAAGCTACCCGGAAGCTTCACGCCGGCCCGAGCGCCTCGAAGCTGAACGCCGACGCGCGGCCGCCCGGCGCGTACGTCGCCCGCACGCGCCGCAGCCCGCGGCCCTCGCGCATCAGGCCCCCGAATTCAAACACGAACTCCTCCCCGCCCGCGCCCGCGCCCTCGCAAAAAGGCACGGCCGAGGGTATCACCGCATACATCTGATCCGGCAGCAGCACAAGCTCGTGGCCTGCGAGCACGGCCGGCGGCAAAAAGGCGGAGAGCGGCGACTCCTCGACTGCCGAAAGCGGCGCGGAGGCCGCGGCGGGGTCGTTGGCGTTCGCGACGCGCGCCTCGTAGCGCGTGCCGGCCCAGGGGCCGCCCTTGAGCCACTCGGAGGGATCAGAGGAGAGCCTGAAGGTTGGAGTTTCGGGGGTTTGGGGGGACATCGGTCGGGCTGTGGGCGTCACGTATATGATGGCGCACGCCGAGGTATCCAGGCGGATGGCTGGGTGGATCGAGGGCGCAGCCCATTTGCACCCAGCGCAACAGCTGGGAGGTGCAAGCGGCGCGGCAGGGGGTGGCCGCGGGGCCCGCTGCTTAGTCAGCAAGCGCGCATGCACGTGCGAAAGCCACACAACAGCGCGCGCGTGTGCACACAAGCTCGCCCTCATGCGTGCGCACAAGCGGGCCTGCACGTGCGCACGCACGACACGCACCAACGTGCACCTGCACCTGCACGTGCGCGCGCACGCACGCATGCACACACACACACACACACACACACACACACACACACACACAAACATTCACAGACACGCGCTTCCAAATCGCGCCCGCCGCACCTCCCCTCTCGCGGCTTGAAAAAGGGCATCGCGCCCATGTCAATGGGGCTGTCCGGCACGTCCCCCGCCCAGCGCTCCTGGATCAGCACGTGCACAAACACGGGGTAGCGCGCCGCGTCTGCGCCCCCGGGGTCGGCTTTATCGCCGACAGGGATGCCGCTGGCGCCGCCAAAGCTCTGCGGCAGGGGCGGGCGTGGCGAGTGAGGAGGGGCTCGAGCGTGACTACAGAGTTCAGCAAGGAACTGCCGGCTCTGCAGGCCAGGACCGCTGCGTTGGCGCTGGTACACAGGCCGTTCTCTGGGCCGCTGGGAGGTGCCTGGAGGGGGCGAGGGGAGGGGCGCACAGCTGCCGCCGCGTCCCGGGGTGCCAGGCGGCGCGCAGCGACCGGAGCGGCGGGACACTGCAGCGCCTGGGGCGCCCCAGACACTGCCCCGGCCCAACCTGAGGCCACGCCCCTCCCGTTCCTCACCGCGCCCCGGCCCCTGGCCCGTTTTGGGTAGCCAAGGTGACTCCCTGCCGGAGTGCTGCTCTCCCCCGCTGCTAGCGGCGCGCTATTAAAAATGTCAACCACTCAAACCCCCCGGCCACCGTTGACCGGCCATTGACCGGCCAGCCACGCCACCCTGGCCCCGCCCACCGCGCCGAAGCTCCATCGGGTGCCGTCCCCGCCCCGCAGGAAGAGCTCAATCACCCACGTCGGCGGCGCCCAGGCCGGAGACGGCAGCTGCGGCGGGCCGCCGACGTAGGCGTCTGGGGTGAGGGCTGTCAGGCGCCGCAGCGGCTTGGAGGGGTCTGCCAGGTCACCCTCCCGGATGACAAAGTCGTTCTGGAGGGTTTGGGGTTTTGTTTTTTGGGGGGGGTGGTCGAGGTTTGGGCTTTCGAGGACTGGGGGGTGTCTGGGGTTGGGAGTGGTGTGAAGGGGCTGTTTGGGTAGGAGGGTTTGAGGGGCGCGCGCGCCAGCGGTTGATGGCTTCGCCCCCGCCGCCCGCCGCCGACGGCGAGCGGGCGTCGCCGGGCCGCCCTCGGTGACTGCGGCCCGGTACCAGCTCCCGTCTGGGGGGCCGCTGCTGCTTGCTTGTGCAGATTGCTCGCCGCGTGCAGCAGCAACTGCTCCAAGCTGCTGAGAACAATACAGAAGCACTCTACTGTTATCACCCACCGGCCGCCCTCCCCTCTCCCCCCCCCAAACCCACACACAACGAAACACACGCAAGCGACTGACGCAGTCGCCGCTCCGCCCCCGGCAACACGCCCGCCCGCCTGCCCGTCAGCAGCACTCCTCTCTCGCCAACATTGACCCCCCTCTCCTTTCAGGATCAAAACAATTACACATTCAAGCTCTCGACAACCTCGGGCACACCCACAAGCCCCGTGAAACCAAGCCCTCTCACATGAGCGCCCCCTTTTGTGAAAGAAAATTCCAGGCAGCAGCGCCGGGGAGCTGCGGCGGGCGGCATCTCCCCACACCCAGAAAAACAACAGCACCCACCGAGTAGCCTTGCTCGTCTGGGAGGCGCTCCCAGTACTGCTCCCACAGCCCGTCCGCCTGCCGCTGCTTCGGCGTCAGGACGCCGGGCGCGTTGTAGATGTTGCGGTGCGTCAGCGCGCGGCGCGTCTCGTCTGCCGGGCGTGCGAGGGGGGCGGGGCACGGGGGGAGGGGGGAGGGGGTTGGGGGGCGCCGAGGTGGTGTTGGGCGGCAGGCTGAGGGCGGGGGGG